TCTCTCCTTCAGATTTTCTTTTCCTTGAAAAACAGCCCTATTGAATTTAATTTTTCTTCACTGTGCAAATTTCTGTTGTTGATAGGATGCTGTGTAATTGGGGTAAAGGGGTGTCCAGTCCTTATAGCACCCCTGGAGTTGTTCTAGTCATTTCATATGTTAGTGAATTTGGTTCTCTTTGCTGTCTTGTGAGACAAGATATCACGTCCCCTTTATAAAGGAAGAGATGGATCGCACTTGTGAATCTGCACTCATAATGGGAGAAAGACTGGCAAACAGTGAATCTCTAACCTCTGTATTTATCTTATGTTTATTTCAAAGTTAATTTCTTTTTTTATCCAAGTAAGTCTTGCCCAGAGATTAAAACCAAGTAGGGCTAAAAGTCTTGATATTGTGGTACCAAACACAGTGCATGTGTGTCAGGCATGGTCTAAGTGATTTATATAAATTAACTCATTTAATGATCACAATAGCTTACTCCTATTATCTCTGCCTTACACATGGACATGGGAGCAGAAAGAAGTTTGTTTAGTTGTCTGAGATTACAGAGCTTCTCAGCGGTAGAATTGGGATATAACAGACAGTGAGGCGCACAGACTTAAATCAATCTCTCTGTCTCTCTCTCTGTCTCTCTCTCTCTCTCTGTCTCTCTCTGTCTCTCTCTCCCTCTCTCCCTCACTCAGTCTATGTTGGGGGTTAAATCCAAGGCCTTCAGTCTTAGCTCCAACCCTAGTAAATATCTTTTTATTTTGAGGCAGGATCTCAATGAATTGCTAAGTTGCCCAGGCTGTGCTCAAACTTGCAATCCTCCTGCCTCAGCCTCCCAGTTCTGCTCATATTGGCATCTTAACCCTCTGTTCCACTCCTCTCTACCCTCAAATTTCTCTTTCCAGAGGCAACAACTCTGAACTATTTCTGATTTTTACCTCCATATTTCTAAACAATGTAAATTACATTTTCAGCATGACCTGTCGAGCTCCTCTGTGTGAGGCGGCAGTGCCGGGTCTCTTGTGTGCCTCTGCCCTTGTTTCCTGCTCTGCACTTCTTCATCTTATTATCTCATAATTTCTCACTCATCAGCCTGTACCTTATTGTAACTATGCAAATGCTGATTATTTATGAGCCAAGTTGTTTATAATCATTCCGTTTCCTTTCACGTTTAATTCTTATTTTCCTGTAGCAAACATTTGCTCATTTTTCATTAGCTTTGTTGTCTATGCAAAGGTTCTTTCCCCATACACCCCACCCAAAGTCAGATACCTCCTGATAAGTTTTCCAGATATTGAAACATAGAGGACAACAGCTCTGCAGACCTGGGCTTCTCCTAAGCCCTGACGGTGTCACTGTGGCTGTGACCCATTGTTCTTGGGGCTTCCATGTGGCTCTCATGCAGGGCTCTCCTGAGAACCTGGATGTCCCATTTTTAGGAATATTTCACATGCTGAGAGTCCCTCTGCTGTTTGCCCTTGTGGGTTCAAATCTTTTTATTCCCTCAAGCCAGTGAGCAGGATTTTGAGAGGGTCGGGGAGAGAGAGAGAGTCCCGTTTTTTCTCCAGTTGCCCCTACAATTGAGATGAACCATGGTTGTCTTCCAAGGATGTCTCTTCTGGTCGCAGTCACAGGCCCAGGCTTCTACTCCCGGCACTCAGGCCTACGCCAGGGTGACTTGCAGTGGCACCCAAACCAATCACTGGGAAACCTTCCGATTCCTGTTCATTGTTAAGTCTGCTAAAGAAGACAGGGAGCTGTTGCATAGGGAACCCGAATAAGTAGCAGACTGAGGCCTTGCATAGATCATCAGGAGAGAAAGCGAAACCTTTTGGAGCTTAGAGATTGGCCTGCGAGTCTTAGTTTTGTCACAATTTGCTCTGAAACTTGGGGAAATTCAATTAATCTCTCTGAGCCTTTCGTACCTTATCTATAAGGTTCTAGAAACACCTGCTCTGCCTACGTGCTCTGAGGAGTGCAGGTGGGATGGTAGGGAGGGTTCTTGTATGAGGTTGAAAGCATTATGGCTTATTTTACTCCTACTGAGAAAGTGCCCTGACTGGCAGAACATAGGAAATTTCTAGAGCTACTGACAAATATTTTTTGTCAGGTTCCAAGGAGCAGAAACACTAGCAGACAATGACTATTTAAAGCAAAACCTCATTTAAATAGTTGAGGAAAGCTATGTCCTTATCCTTGCCGTAAATCTTCCCCTGTGCTCCTCACAATACAGAAATGAGTTCCCGGCTTGCAGACAGCAATATCAGGGCGATATTTTATAGTGTTGTTACATTTTGTATCCAAACATGCCCGGAGGATTTTATAAGCAAAAATGAAATTTCTTCACAGCCCTGTGGCATAGGCATTTCATTACTAAATTTATAGACAGATAAACAGTGATGTGCAAAAATGAAAACTTTCTCCGACAACCTTGGCTGTGACTAATAGAATCTGGCAGGGAACAGCCCACCCCTGCACCCCTGCACCTCTGCACACTTTATGTCTGGTTCAGCAATGTGAATCCCTTGTACACACTGAGGGCAGCCCACGAGTGACACTGAAGAGGAGACTTCTCAGAAAGGTAGGAGGCATTACATTGGGTTGGAAAGGAGGAAAGTGAGAAGGAGCTTCTGGGGCATCTCTGAAGTGCAGTGTTGCAGAGACTGGATTCTACTAGAGGAAGAGAGAAAAGGTTAAACTGAAGGGAGCATAGCCAATGGGAGGAGAGGTCTTCAGCTGCTAAGGAACTTGGGAAGCTCGCAGTCTCACTCAACCTACAGGTCCCATGCAGATGTCATTGACTCTTCTGATTACCAGCTGTGGCCTGCTCTTGGCCTTCAATTTAAAAGTGTCCTTGGTCTACCAGCTGTGTGCCAGCTACACTCAAGGCCAGGGTCCCCTTTGATTGTTTTTTTTTGGCTCTTTACTCAGAAAAGAAACCTCAGATTGCCTAATCTTTCTCTCTGGGTTTAGCAGGTGCATAAAGCTCTTTGAGTTGAGTCTCTACTAATGTGAAGTTTGACCAAATTCAGTATATGCTGTTTGACACACTGTTGCAAAGCTTTCCTAAGCAGGGTGAGTGCTTGTCCAAATCCAGAGGAGAAGGCAGACATAAACAGAAGGGGTCTCAATGCAAGCACCGCAACGACTGGGTCCTGGAAGGGGATTAGAAAATTCTGGAGTAGAAAAATGGGCTACGAAAGGTGCCCAGAGGAACTGCTCTCCAGAGACCACTGAAAGAATGGGTGGGATTTTAATAAGAGGAGCAGAGAAGGAGGGGATAAGCAAAGGCAAAGTGGTATGACACAGGACAGACGTTCAGGAAAATGATGCATGGGTGTGGGACGTGTCTGAGAAAAAACAGCAGAAGACATTTGAGAACTAGCTATCCTTCCGGTGCTTCCCTGTCTCCACATTTAAGAAGAGACACCATAAAAAAAATTTACCAGTGTCTTTTTCGAATTATGCAACTCAATATTTTTTAATATACTAAAAATCCTAATATACTAAAACACTAAAATATACTAAAAATCCAGCAATATATGTGCTGCTGAAGCTAGCACACTAAAAAGAATCCTTTAAAATACCTACTGGAAAATCAAAGTAAGGTTAACCAGGCACAGAAGGGAATCTCCAAAATGAGAGAAACTTGACAGATCCTTTCAGTGCTACTTAGAAATTTGAAGTGCAAGTGTAACTGTCCTAGCCTGGCAGAGGGACTGCTGTCCCCCAGGAGGTGTGAAGCAAAGCTGAGAGAAATGGATGGGAAACGGATGAGGTGCTGTTTAGGCTAGAAAAGGTTTAAATAAACACTGTGGTGACTTGCTGAAAATCCCAGTCTGTAACTGTGACACTAGCATTTGAATGCCAAGACTGATGATATTTCCAGTGTTATAGGCTGCTCCTCTAGATTTAGATGCATCTGTGGAGACTTGCAGGTGATTTCCCAAAATATATCTGTGCTGAAACAGTCAAGGTGAAAGAGGCATGGAACTCCTGGAATCTAGATGGAACATTTAGCATTTTTTAATGCACCGTGGCTAGCAGGGACTCCTGGGGCTCTCAGAGCTGCAGGTTTGCGGAGCTCTTATCTGTGCTGATGGCTATGCTATCAAGGTCTGTAAGCCCTGGCTAAGTCACCTGTTCAGCCAGACCTCTATTCTCTGGGCTGTGATTCTTGAGAGAAGGAAATGAAGGAGGTACCTCCCAGAGCCCCAGCAGTGATGGGGGCAGATTTGCAGCTAATAAGTGATAAGTGACAGACAGATTGGGCTTCCTGATTCCCCTAGTTTCCTGTACTTTGCGGACTGTAGTATTCTGCTCTCTGCTAAGTGAAGATGTTGGCAGAACTCTGTTCTGGGAGTCTGTGTGGATGTAGTTCCAGCTTCTTGGAAGTTGTTAGCCCCTAGAGGCCGTCTGTCTTCCTGGGCTTGTCTCCACCATCTTTAGTCAGCGATGAGACTTTGACTCTTCTTTATGCTTTGAATCTCTCTGATTCTTTCTTCTACCATCAGGTGGAGAGGGTTTTTTGATTTGAAGGACTCATGGGATTAGATTGGATCAGCATGAACATTCATCCCTTTCAAAGGTCAGCTGTGTCAGATGACTCAGTCACAGCAGCAGAATCTCCCCATGATTACAGGTTCCAGGGATTGGGGCAATGGGACCTCGAGAGCCATTTATGGAACACTGCCTACCGCCACATGCACCCTACCACAGATGGACAGCCACTCCACAGGGACACATGCTGCTTCTCACTCACAGTGTGCCTCTTAGGCTAGATGAACTTTAAGGTCCTTTTGAGTCCTGAAGTTCCAGGAATGTTTTATTTAAACAGAATTAATACAAAAATTACTGGAAACAGGGACTGCAGTTTGAGACATGTTGGGAGGACATTATTTACCCCAAAAAGAAAACTAAGTAATTGTCATGGTGTTGGATCATACTGCATTATGAGAGATATTTTTGGTAACAATGCTAGGTCTTCACATTTCTCTTGCTTCCCCCACCAGCAAAAGCAACGTTTTTGCCTCAACCATGACTGCTCCTTCTACTCACTGGATATATGGCTCTATACCTGTTCTGTATTTCTATGCACAAAGGATGATTTTGGGAACTTATTTTGGATTGGATCTTGGATGTCCCTAAAGGTCATGTGTTGAAAGCATGGCCACCAACCTGGGAGGTGGCAGGACCTTCAGGAGATGGGAGAAGATTGGATCACTGGAGGGTGTATCCTTGACCTTCTCTCTCTTTTTCACTCTCTGCTTCCTACCCTCCATGAGGTGAGTAGCTTTGTTCCAAAACTTGTTACTGCCATGATACTCTGCTTTTCTGTGGGCCCCAAATCAGTGGAGCCAGCACACCATGGACTGCACACCCTGAAACTGTGAACCTTTGAGTTGATTCTTCTTTTAAAATGTTCATCTTAGATATGTTGTCACAGGAATGAAAAAACTGGCTATGACAAACTGGAGCTTTCTTTCATTCATTTTTAAAAAAATATTTTTAGCCTTTAGTGACAAGTTCTTTTCTAGGTCATTTAAAGTTTCCAAGGATGAAAGAGAAGTGGTGTATTCCTCCAGGAAGCTCAGTGTACAGTTGTGGGAACAAGATGTGGACAGACGACACAGGTAGCATTTGTAATAGACTGATTTGGGGAATGTGTAGGTAAAATGCCTGAGTGTTAGTAGGCAGGGAGATCTTTCATTTCCTTCTAGGTAAATCTAGGGATTACTGGAGGAGAGCTGGCTTTGATCTGGGCTCTCACAAGATGAACAGGATTTGGGTGACAGGATTGGCACTTCCTATAGAGGGAGCAGTGGGAATGCAGCTGGAGACAGAAGGCACCATCCTTTTGTAGGGTCTTGGGCAAGGTTGAGGGCTTGATGCTGGTTCAGCTGGCGGAAGTGAGCATTCTGCTAAGTGCGTGTAATAATGATGGCCGCCTCCTCCCAACACACTGTGCAGAATGCAATTCAAATGTTCACAGAGAACATATGTGCAGACTCAAAACAGTGCATGGTAAACTTTAACAACATGCAATAAACTAAAAATATTCCTGGGAAAGAAAGAACACCTAGGATCATCCTGCTTGCTCATTTTGCTCCTGTTGTGTGGTTCGAAGCTTCTTTGTGTGTGTGTTTCAGTGGAGTCTACGCAATGCCGTGCAAGCCTGATACACTTTCCATCCTACTTGTTTTCCCCCTCAGCTGCTTTACCTGTGCCTCTCAATAGCATCCTTTTTAATCAGAGGGAACGTACATGTTCAAAGCCAGTTTTAAAATTCCTTTAAAAAGTCAAGTCAAATCAGTTTTACTTCCTGAAGTATTCCTAGGTTGTTATTGCACTGCCTATAGAAGCTCATTTTGTCAAGAATTTTATAAGCCATAACTCAAAAGCAGTCACACAGGGTTCAGGGTTTGTGACTCAGAGTATGTCATCCCCAGAGACAGCCAAGGGCTCGGTGACAGCTGTCACAGGCTTTTGCCTGTGCCTTCATCAGTGGAGGTTACTGGAAATATAACCTTTGCTGCCCTGGTCCTTCTTCCTGTCTGTCTTCTTTGAGATTTCTTTCCAGACACTTCTTGGATTTACATCTTGTTCCACAGCCTGATGCTGTGTGACCTTAGGAAATCACATCCCTTCTAATCTCTGAGGGTAAATTCTGTGTCACCTGTGAAAATGACTGGTCCTTACTGGATACCATTTGGGTTCATTGCATTTGTAGGGTATGTCCATTTTAGTTTTCAAAATCTGTTTGCTATTAGTTTTTTTAACCGACCACACCATTTGGCAAAGAGGGGTCAATGTATTTTTTTTGTCTTTTTCCTTTTTATCATTACTGGGGATTGAACTCACAACTGCCTGCTTGCAAGGCAGGCGCTTATGCCGCTGAGCTAAATCCCCAGCCCCTAGATGGGTCAATGTTTGTTCTGTGTATGGATCTCTGCGTTTGGTGGGATGGTAGGAAATAGAGAGCTGAAATAGACACGTTCCCATAGTTCTCCAGATGTGTCATTGTGGGCTTAGTCATGAGCTGTGGCTACAGGTTGATGAAGATGCACGAACTGTATAGAAAGACACTTAGCTGTCACAGTGAGGTTTTATTCAGAGTGTCAGTATCCGGGGGCTCAGGACTCATAATTTTGACGATTCATTATACAGGCAGATCCCGCGACCTCTGTGGTCATTTCTGATTTAGCTGAGACTCTAGATGAGTGTGTGAGTCCCTGACAGTGGTGAGGAGCCTTGGCTGGATCCTTGGGGCTCACATTTCAGGGGTGCTGCTGTCTCCCCCCACTGTCAGCGAGCAGTTAGTTTATGCTCACTTGAAGGGTGGAAATCTGTGCGGCACAAGCAGAAAGGCAAGCAGGTTGGTGTTGGTGGTGCAGAAAAAAGAAATGAAGACATTTAGTAAGACAATGGCTCTGGCAGCCCTGAGTCAGTAAAATGCAACAACTGAAAAATGACCTTGGTGACAGCTTGGATCTGTGGAAATGAGGAAAAAGCCCAAGAAATTGGCTCAGCAAGGGTTAAAACATGTAGTTCTGTCCCTAAATGAGCAAAATTTAAATCCACCATTATTAACAGTGAAGAGAGATATGTCCACGTGGGAAGAGACTAGGTGATCCTTCTGCAGTAATTTTCCTGAGATTCAGGATTTCCTGGGACTTTGCACCAGTTTCTGTCACCCTCTGCTGGCCTCCAGGAGGCACTGTTCCCTCTGAAATGATACCAAGCAGAGAATACTAGGGAGGCTGGACCAGGCTTTCCTAGGGGATCATAACAGGAAACAAATAACGTCTGGTTCCTTGGTCTCACAGATGGCAGCTCACCTGTTTTCAAGTTTGGGGTCTCCAGGCAGATACAGTGCCTTCTCATATGGTCCAGTACCTGTTCCTATGGTTAAGTTAATCTTTCATTTCTACTTGGAATGTTTCATCTTCCCGATTCTTTCTTTTCTTTTCTTTTTTTCTGGTACCAGGGATCAAACACACAATCTCATACTTGCCAGCCAGGTGCTTACACGCTGAGCTAAACTCCTGGCCCTCATCTTCTCATTACTACTTGGAATGTTTCATCCTTTTTATTTCTAATTGGGTGGTAGATTCCTCAAGTGCAGGTCCAAGAGACTGAAATCCAGACAGAACATCTGCTCTGGTCTCCTGATATCTGCCTAGTTCAGTCACCCACACACCTGCTTCTTTCGTGGAAGATCCTCTCCTCTGGGGCTCTTTGGCTGAGACAAACTTCATTCTAGTGCTGTAATGGTACCTTAGGGGAATTCCCCCACCCCCAAACAATGGCCAACTTTAAAAAATTTTTAGAGTAACCCAGTGTCCGATACACATACTAGGCAAGCTCTTTACCACTCAGCTACATCTCCAACCCTGAGAGCATTCCCTTCGTTCCTTCTTAGCTAAAAGATTTAGCAATGATTAATAACAGATGTTCATATCACACGTTTGTGTTTCAGTGTGCTAATATGATGAGTGTATTAATCAGCTTTTATTTTTATTTTTTTACTTTTTCTTTGGTACTAGGAATCGAACTCATGATCTTGTGTTTGCCAGGCATGGCTGTGCCACTGAGCTATATCCCCAGGCCTTTGTAATTAGCTTTTAGAGTTAAGCCCACACTTGCAATTCATGGGATAAAGCCCTTTTGGTCATTGTGGTAGTTTCTAATGGCTGCAATGACAAAGTCCCCCAAATTGACTGGCTTATGAAAATAGAAATGTATTTTCTCATATCCCTGGAGGTTACAAGTCTGCATTCTGAGTGTCTAGGGAGCAGGACTTATCCTAGAGACCAGGGACTACCCTTCCACGCATGTTCCTCACTTCCTGTGATTACTGGAGAACCCTGGTTGTTGATCTCATACCCTAATCTCCCCTTCCATCATTGTACAATGCTTTCCACCTCTGCGCTAAAATTTCTGTTTTTGTATAAGGTCACCAGACTCATGGTCATCCATTATGACCTTGTCTCAACTTGTTCTGACACCTGCAAAGATCTTATTTCTAAATAAAGCGGTGTTCACAAGATTCAAGTTCAAACATGTCTTGGAATATACAATTTTAACCTCTAGAGTTAGGAAGTGTTATTTTAAAAACATGTATAGTGTTGGAATCAATTTGTTAAAGTTTTGCTTATGATTATAAATAGTATTTTTAGAGATCTTTATATGGTACTATCTTTGATGTTATGATGTGTACAATGTTAGATTCATAGAACATGTTGTGAAATGTCCTTTCCTCTCCTATTCAAGGGATCAATTTTATTGAACTGGTAATATTTCCTTTTTAAATGTTAGAATTCTCCAAGGCAACTGTTTGGTTGTGAAGTTTGCTTCTTAAAATGAGGTTCAAGCTGCAGATTCCCTTACTTTAATGGACATCCAGCCATTTAGATCTGTTTCTTTTTGAATGAACTTTTGTAACACTTCTTGCAAGGACTTGGCCCATTTCATCTCTCTCTCTCTGCCCCTCTCGTTCTCTCTCTTTCTTGTACCGGTAATTGAACTTACAACCTTGTGCTTGCCAGGCATACGTGGTGCTCATTTCATCTCAATGTTCGAATTTACTAGCATGAATTTGTCTTATTAACATTTCAGTATCTGTAGACCTATGGTGATTCTCAAGCCTGGTAATTTATGCCCTTTTTAAAGAGATGACAAGTAATGGTATCAATGTTGTGAGCCTTCTCAAGATGCTAGAATTTGGTTGCATTTGTTTACTCACTATTTCTGTTTCATCAGTTTCTCTTCTAATCTTTTTTACTTTTCTTCTTCTAGTTTCTTTATTTTTTACTCATCATATTTTAGTGTCCTACGATGAAAGTTGAGAGGACCAATGTGAAATTATATTCTTTTCTAATGCTATCAATTTCCAAGTCCTGCTTTGTCAGCAAACCCTCCATTTTTATATGTTATGTTTTTATTTTCTTTACACTCAAAATACTTCCTAACTTATCACTTGCAATATCATCTGACATTCAGGGTATTTATCAATAGTTCTATAAATAGTTTTCCAAGTATTTGGGGATTTTAAAAAAAGATCATTGTTATTGAATTGTAATGAAATTCTGTTTAGTTGAAGAATATGCTTTGACTTGCTGGCTTTTGGCTCTGTTGAGTTTTCTTTTTCTGGGATGAGATCTTGCTGTGTGGTTCAAGCTGGTGTCATGTGTGCTTTGTAGCCCAGGGTGGCCTGGAACTCATGACCTGTCTGCCTCAACCCTGAGGGTGCTGAGATTATAGGTGTGCGCCCTTGTGCTTGCCA